AATTCTTATAAGCATGTGATTATATATAAACCGAATTAAAAAAATCACCCTTTGATTATATATAAACCAAATTAAAAAAATCACCCTTTGAAAATGTAGGATATAAATGTGGTAAGTGTAGCATTACTCAATAGTATAATAGAAAAAGTAACGACGCTATTATGTGTCAATGTTTTTGTATAAAGTACATACAAATTTATTAAACCAACCAAATACTTGTTTTGTTAGTGATATTCATGATACTTTGTGTATATCCATGAGCACAAATGTGAGTGGAATAAAACTCCTAGTCATAGCTTCATGCGATAATCAACTCATCAAGTTTGAATATTCAGAAACTAACATATAAGAATTTTGTGTTCTCAAATTGTTGTGTTTTCATGCACTAGAATATGATTTTTTTTTTTTAAATTTTATTAAAGAACAAATATTAATAACAGACGTTGTCAGCACGCCGATTATCCGAGGAGACGGAAGACATTAATGTCATCCCAGCTTCGCCGCGTTGCCATCTCTACTTCATCATCGCCCTACACGCCAACCCACCCAACCCAATTGACATTTTCTCATCTTGCTTAATTTCTTCAAATTCATTTTGGTCGGAGACCGGAAGGTAATGTAATTTATTCAAGTGTACAATGATTGCAAGACTTAAATAGGGTCTGAAATCGGTCGAATGGCTACCGGCGGCGGGGCCCACGTCGGCTAAGCACTAAGGGACCCACGTAGGTGGGCCGCGAGTGTTTTTGGACGGACGCAAGAACGCCCACGTTGCCACGGCAATCCAATAAAAGACAAAACCCACTTTGCTAATGGAAATGGACCCCACGCGCATTCTGTCAAATCCTCACCAGGCCCATACCAAGTGGATGAGCGTGTAACAACGAGCTCTAAGATGACCGTGTGGCCCCGACAAAGGCTGATAAACTCAGGCGATCCAGATTAACAGATAAAGAGAGAGATCCCAACCATCAGAGCACACCAACTTACCCAACGACCAAGACAAACAGGATTGCCTAATTTTCAGATCACTGATTATTCTCTTAATTATTTTTTGTTGATGGTCATTGCTCATCAAATTCGTTCTTTTTAATTAGTTTTCTCCTTATTATTTTTTGTTGGACTCATATAATAAACTCAAGGTTCTTGGATAATGTAGGTTTGTGCTCAGCAACCAGTCAACGTGCTCGGAGGTGCTATTATCTGCAGATTAAAATACGTCTCACAACGTATTATTCATGTGTGCTTCTTTATTTAGATAAACAACATAACATATTAGATTAAAATTATGCTGTCAAACCTATTACTGAGAGAATATTTCTTGAATGCAACAAAAATTATTTGTCCGAAGTTTATTGTCACATTGTTAATTACGTCTCTCGCGTAGACAAAATTCATCCATGCAGATGAAACAAACTTGTTTCATGGTGATAAGTAAGCACGAGCCATGTGGTGTTGTTTTAACTTCAACTATAATGGATATTGTCATTATTATTAGTGCTTAAGTTTAGGGTTTATCTTCGAAGTTAAATAATGAATCTTCTAGAGTACTTCGTATGGGTCATGGGTGGTGATGTATGATTGACTTTGTGATATGAGTAAGAAGTATATGGGAGACAGAAGTAAACATTGACGTATTATTTTCCAAGAAAAACAGAAAGTCAACTAAATTTAGCCCACTAATCCTGATTAAGTCTTTGTCATAGCCTCATAAAAACAATATTATAGACAATGAATAAAATTTAATTTTGGTGGCTGAGAGGAAGACTCTTACCATCGATGCAAAGGGTCCAAAAGAGGTGAGAATCAACGAATTCGAAGTCAATAGTACTCAAAAGTAGTAGGAAATAATGTTACTTCTTATATTCCCTTCATCAGACCTTTCATATGACCAACTAATTGATAAACATTTGAAGAATTGACAAAAAAATAAAAATAAGATCCTTATTATGGACATCTCTACATTTCAATTCATTTGTTTTATCGCTATTTGATATACTCTGATATTGATATTAGAATTATAATATGTTATGTTGTTAAATTGTCAATTAACACAATTATGCATCTCAACCGATCAGATAAAGATTTCATTCGGTAATATATAAATCAAAATGTTAGACAATGATCCACACTCAACGACTTCCAATGACTGACATGTAAAAAACATCTACCAAGATTTGAATACTAACAAGTTTTGATATAATATATGCTGATTATGAGACAAACAAAAATAACTGGACCTGTGATAATTTTTTTAACTGTGGGTTGGTAGAAAATTTGGCACCCAAAATAATAATGTAGATAAGAAAACTTTATGAGTTAAATTATTCTGCACTACTGCAACCAACCACCATAGCCAAAGACATCATGGCATGAAAAAGCCAAGCCAGCAGAATCTCCTTACTATACAAGTCAATGATGGCTAGCATAAATCATAAACTCACACCTTTAAATAAAAAGCCAAAAGCCAAAAGTACCAACAACAAAAAAAAAAAAAAAAAAAAAAAAAACAAGTACTTCGGATCGAAGGAAGCACAAAAGGCTGCATAATTGGTGGTAATTAAATCACAGAATCACGCAATTATTTATTAATCACAAAGGCCAAAAGAAAATACAATGTTTAAATCAAGTAATTTTGTGTTAGATTATGTTTTAAACATACAAGGCTAATCTAATCACGGGCCACTTGGGAAAAATATACTTTTATACAAATGGCTCACATGGGAGGAGGAGCCATTTAAGAAGCAAATAAAAAGCATGCATGTTCTTCTGCAACTGCAACACAAAATGGGAAGAATTTAATCCACCACACTTGCGGTTTGCACGTGCGATTGAAGACACTGTTGTGGTGGGCCACCACTGTCCTGACTTGAACCCTAATTGGTGCCCATATGGGAATCTGTGCAGTGCATATAGTGCCCTTCCCTTAGATGTTGCTGTCATTATTCTTTCTCATTCAGGTAGATATGTGAGCATGTAAACATTATACTTATCTAGAAATATAATTAATATATAATATGGTTTACATTTAAAAATTTTGATTGACTGGGCTTTGGTTTTCACCATTGACTCACCTAATACATAATGTTTTTATTGTCATTATCAGCATGCTTCAGCATACACTGGGTGTTGACTGCTAAACTGATGAATGCCCGTTTTTCTAGTCAAAACAGTGCAACTTGGAAATCTTCTAGGTTAGTCAGTGATCATTGATGGACCAACAATTTCTTTTTTCCTCTTTTGAACTGAGGGAAGGGAAAGGAAGGGGAGGGCATGTTTTGACGTGTTTCTTTAGGAAGCATTTCTGCTGGAAGTGCTTTTGTTAAAAGCACGTCGAAAAATGGGGAAATGTGCTTCTTCAAACAACACAAAAAATTACTTTTATAACCCAGAAACATGTTTTAATTTTTCTGCCAAAACGCTATTAGAAGCACTTTTAGATTACTGAAAGTACTTTTAGCCTTCCTAAAAACAATACCAAACAGACCCGAATTCTGCAAGACTTATGGAGCATGTTGGAGCTTTTTAATGAGGTAAGAAAGGAATGAAAAAGAAAATAAACTTTCATAGTTAGAATTATGATAGTTTGCAGGAGTCTCTATCTACAATGGACCACAGAAACCAATAAAGAGGAAAGAAGAGAAGAAGCAAATAAAGTTCGGATTCATAAGTTCACAATGCATCTGGTAAAGTGGGCAACAACTAGTGATATGACAATTATAAGACAAGTAGGTCTCAAGTTCTTATCTCTTTTCTTACTTTCTCTTTCATAGACTCCGCCACCTACTCTCCACAAATGGGCACTTTTGACCTGGATCACCAGATAGGAATCTTGCTTACCTTGCAGCAATGAAGTAGAAAATATATTTCTTTTATCTAAATACAAAGACACTAAGGAAGCCTTGTAAAGGGAAAGATTCCAAAGTTAAATCTGATTCAATTCAAGGGTTCAGGAGAACTTTCACCATTGTACATAAATCCAACAGGACTTCCACATTAGAAATATCCTTTCCAAAGATTATTGGTCTTCAAATTCAAATATACCATAAACCATTGAAACACACAGAATCTGAAATATGTTTACCATTATTAGCAATAACAGTTATGATGAGTTGTTGACAGTAACTATAATTACCATTCATCATTGTCACTGAAGTATAACATGTTCATAGCATGGTTATAGTTCAAACAGCTGTCACTTCTAGAACAAACCCATTGAAATAAGGCACCTCTCCATCACACCAGATATCAAAATATACTAGAGGTCAAGTAGGCCCTAATTCAAACCATTTTTTCAAATCCCATTTAAGACAATGTGCCCACTGTTCTTCTAGCCATTCTTGAAGAAAAGAAAAGAAAAAAGCTGATGGGCTAACCAGTTAACTAATCATTAATTCTTTTTTCATGTTGAAACCAAATCAGCAGACAATTGAAACAAAACTTTGACTTCCACAAAAAGGTTTACAAAAAGATGTAAAACAGAAATAAATTTAATAGGTGATATTGCGTAGAGTAGAAAAAGAATGGAAGACAATACATCATCTGATACAATTGGAACAAAGGTCAGGATGATGAAGATGGTGACCTACCAGCTACTTGGAATACTTACCAAGAGATCAGATTTGACCATGAAAGTCTACCCTAGAACACTGTCAACCAGTTTGTAAGTTCTGGTTGATGTGATTCTGAATTTAGTAAGATAAATTCATGCTGTAGTGCAACATTCAAGCATGCCTGCTCAAAGTGTCAATGTGTATGTTGTGCAAGGATGTCTGCAAAAGTGTGTCAATGCTTTTCATTAGTCACTAACAACACAATCACTTACAAACCAAAAACAACAATACAAACTGCCATAAGGGTTCTCACTCTTTTGGCTGCAAACTCAACACATCAACATCTATAATTTGGGTTCCCAGGAATGTTACAATTTTCAAAGAAAAATCACAACTTAATTATGGTACAGAGTTCGCAGATATGTATACACTTACAGATCCAACAAATGACTACGCAGGTAAGAATCCATCATATTAAACAAATCACTCAAACATGAATTTGTGCTTAAAGTACAGACCACCCATTCACTCAACGTTTGATTACACATGCAGTGAAAGGGTCTAGGACTCTTCAGAGATCATTATATCCTGCAAGGAGGATAACATACCTTTTGCAATGAGGATACATAGTACATTTATATAATCATGTGAAAGTGCATAGGGAATAATTCCTAAAGAAACAACCACCAGAAAAACTACTTCTGATTTTCTTTTTGTATCAAGTGCAATAATAACGAAGAAAGGGAGTCCACGCCTTAGAACCCGAAAGCTGCTGAGACACTAAGGCTGACAACTTTCTGCGGTTCTTCTGATCTTTCATCAAACATTCTTCACGGCTTCAACCATCAACTTATATAAGGCCAATCCACCTTCATGGCAGCCTGGCATTTTAGATGCCATATTCTCTAGGTCAATCTGACATAAAGAAAAATTGATGAGAACTTGCATTGAAACTTAAACCAAAAGTTGAGATTCATGGATTGTCTATTGTCTCACAGAAAGCAAGGGACTGTTAATCATCTCAAATTATTTTCCTATTTTACCTTAATAGGGCCAGCACTAATAACAGTCCTCAATCTTAAAATATTGTAAGGACAATTTGATGTTTAATTTAGTAAATAGTAAAAGTTTTATTTTGATAATACATTTTAAGATATGAAAATCAAGTTAAATCATATCAATGGTTCCACCACAACAAAATGCTAATGAAAGATTGATGTCCCTCAGAACTGCTACCACGCTCTATCATTTAGGGATGGGCATTGAGAATCATCACCATCACCATCATCATCACCACCACCACCACCACCACCACCACCACCACATCCCTAACACCCAATGGGGTACACAATGCCCAAAGGGTATCCATTGCCTATCCCTACCATCAATTTCACCTAGTAAGTCCTGGTCCAGTTTGTAAAAACTGATTTGAATTAAAAATTTGGAATAACATCAAAATGTTTCCATTTACTGGTCAATTGCAGCATTATCTGGTTTCAATTTCTCCCAACCTGAATACAAAAATTTGAATCAGCCATAAAATGCTTCTATCAATGTCAACATTCCCACAACACCATCATACCATACAATCACATTACTCTTTTTTTTTTTTTTTCTTTTTAAAAGAGAAACTTTTATTGCACAAAGCAAAAACAGAACACCAACAGGAACAAAACAGGCTTCGCCAAGGAGGCCACACAAACCCCAAACAAAAGGAAAACAACAAGACAACCTAACACATTACAAAACTACAGCTTTCCAATCCAAGTGGATGAAACTAAAGTTGATATCCTTAAATTCTGAAGAAGTTGATGCCCACAATGATGCCCAGAAACGAATCCAATCCCAAAACTGGTCAATCTCATCACCCTTAACATAAATCAAAATTCTCTTATTCCTCTCCATCCACACCACCCAAAACACTGCCATCATAGCACAACTACCCAGCACCATCCCCCTCCTATTACCACCAAAAAATTTCAATCTTTCACCAAGCAATCACATTATTCTTACACTCTACCATCATTGAATCTGAGTGCACTTGAATACATAAAAATATGTAAAATAAAATTTCAAATGCAGACAATTGTTAAGCAAACAAGAACTAAATGTTGATCCATCTATGTCTGATAAACATTTAAACTAACCAGTGGAACTGTAAAGAGCTGAGTTGACTCAAAGCTGTCTTGTGCGGTAGCATACAACTTCTGAACTTCCTTTGAGCTGAGACTGCATTTCATGAAGAAAAATGCAGTTGGTCGCACATTCAACACCCTGCGGGATATACCAATGAATACTTGCTCGTGCTGCATTACAACCAAATGATCAACACTAGATACAGCAAGGAGAAGAGTTATTTTATAGTTCTAACTGAAGAAGCTTATTATGATTGTATATTAAAATCACCACAAACAAATTAACTGTAAGCAGGAAAGACGCAACAAATGTATCATGGACAGCTAGGAAACAAGAATACAGATGTACTCACAAGGGAAGCTGAAGGTACTCCAATTTCTTCAACTACCTCACGGACAATGCTGTCAAACATCTCCTGAGAAACCTTGTCGTTAATAACTTTGGAGTCTGTCAAGTCCTCATGATGATGGGATACTAATCCAACTTCTTGGGGCTGTTAATTATCAAATATTATGGGATTAGGTCCAGATAAACCCTGCAAAAGGATGAAGCAACACAAAAAAGCGCTTCTTATAGTCACTGCAAGCTTAAAAGAAAAAGTTTGAAAGTATCTAGATAATGTGGAGAATGCATTGACGTGAACCATGCACTGAAGAACTGACAGCCACTGCCCATAATATATGCATGTACGTGTATACTTGGAAAGAAGGGGGAACTGGCAGAGGGCTCCTCCGAAAGTTTGAAATGACAAAGAAACTTATAAATAATTTCAAACCTGGCCCCCAAGAGAGAGAGAAAAAATTGCTGTGTGTACGTACATATTGCATCAATACATGCAAGAATGGGTACATGGGCAATGAAGATATCACAGTATGGAGCTACAAAACGCAGTTGCAAACTTTTCATGTTTCAGAGAAGATACCTCTGGATGGCCTCCTGGGAAAACAAAATGTCCAGGAAATTCCCCAACATTGTTACTTCTTTGCAACACAAGTATTTTCTTGTCAGATGTCTCCACAATAGCACCATTACCCAATGGACTTGAGGTGTGTTGACAACGTATAGCATCATCTACACAAAAGCAAAGCTGTAGATTATCATAAATACAATTTTTGTCAAAGAAATTCAAGAACCAAGCAATCCTTATATGCCATCTGCGATAAAGTTGCCTGTCATAAATTTTAATTATCATTAATTTTATTAAACCTGGAAGTTTAAAGTAGTTAATCATATAGTTTCTACGTATCAGTCTTCATAAATTTCTTGAAGAATCTGTAAATTCAACATCTAGATTCACGTTTTGTTTTGTCAATATAAAACCAACATCACACCATGTTTTTAGTTGCTTAGGATTCTAATGGGATAAAAACAATGAAATGATCAGGGACTGCAAGTTTATGGATTTGTGGAAGAAAAATAAAATAAAAAGAGGAAATGGTTGACGGAAGTCATTGAGACAAATGTACTAATTCATGCAGTTATACCTTCTGAAGCAACCAGGAAGCTTTCCCATAAACGATTTAAGTTTGTGCCCACAAAATTCCTGCAAAGCAAGTAGGTGAAAGATTTAATACCAGAAAATAGAAGGCTGATTGCCTACGTGGCATCCAATTTTGCTTTACTTCCTTTATCATAGGTGGAGGTTCACATTAACAAACTAACTTTGCAGACCAAGTATCCCAGAATTGGAATCAGCCAAGACAATAAAGGACAGAGAAGATAGCCACTTTGTTCAAGAAGCCATCTCCTCTTGTAACTAAGCTATATTACTTCGATTAACTGTCAACATTTGATTTTTGATAATAGCTATTAATTTTCAGTAAGCATATAATCTATGAATGCTACATCATAGAATCAGATTTAAACAATAATATATATGCGGATCATTTTGTTTGAATACACTTAGAGAGAGAGAGAGAGAGAGAGAGAGAGAGAGAGAGACCTATAATCTGTCAGACCAAGGTGGAGGCATACATGAGGCTCTTGGTTAGATCCACCTCCATCATGCCATACATGTTTTCCATACTATATAATCATATACAATATACAGAACATTAGTACATTATACGAAAATCAAAAACCAAATTAAACTACGGGATATAGTTTCAGACAACGTATACCTGTGAGGAAACTAAACAATCTGGCTATCATCATAGAAGATATACATACCCTGAACTTTGTCCCATTGTACAACGATGGATTTTTATGAACCCTTTGATCCCATATCTATAAATTCAGAATAAGACAGCTTAGCCATACAATATATAAATGTGTGTGTGCTTGTCTTTTAAACAAGAACCAAGCTTGTGATGAAAAACTATTTACAGAGATTTCCTATTAAACAAAATAAGCTCAACCCAGAATCCTAAATGTAGGTAACCCAAGTAAAAAGAAAGCTCATCAAATTGCTATCGGAATCAAATTGGGCTCTCTGCACAATACATTGGACTGCTTTCCCCATATTTGGCTGATTGAATTACAACAACTCTCTCAAGAAACAAACACATACATATATATATATATATATATAATAAATAGTTACCACAAAGATAAATTAATAAATAAACCATCAAAACTATATTAAATATTGCTTAGACATGTACAATTACAAAATTAAAAGTTCACCTCAGAAACAGAATTCTCCAAGTTGATGTCTGGATGGGGAATTCGATCATAAACTCCATCAAAAACCACAGAAACCTTTAAACCCAAAAACAAATGCATTAGATTGTAAAATCATATGCATGTGAAAAATTTACCATTGCAGATTGGCTTTGTTACTAACAAATCAAAGTGAAAGAAGGAAATGAAAATTTAGAGGACCTGCGATGGCAAAAGACCCGAGGGGCAAGAGAGCAGAAGCTTGTAGCGCTCACTGCTCGTTTCAGTCTCTGCCTTCTCCATTGGAATGGCGAGCGCAGACCAATGTCGATCAAATTCTTCTGGGATTCTGAGAACTTGAGAAGTCAGTGCTTGCAACGCCGCAGCCTGCATGGTTGCTCTATAGGTCAGATGGGCCGGCCGGCCAGCCCAGTTCTAAAAGTAAAGGCGGAAGTCCAAATAATTGGGCCTTTTGATTAGTTTGGACCGCGCCTATTGGACCAATCCATTGGCTCGGCCCAGTTAGACTTATTTAAGGAGTCAAGTATTTTTCAAAATCATATCCAAAGAAATAAAGTAGTGACGCATTTAAATTAAGGACGATTTACCACTTTGGCCAGCACTTTATCCCTTACGGGCCGACCCGGTGTGAGCGGGGATTAGTCTGGGTTGTGGTTCGGTTCTTAAAAAATAAAATAATAATAAGATTTTGTTTTTTAAGTAATTAAAAGCTTCAATATTTTACTAAATATTATCATAATAATTGACAACGTATATTGGATTCCTTTTTCCAAATTTATTATTTATGTATATCTATCATTTTTTTTTTAACAATACAAGCAAACAATAATCTAAACTATAAGGGGATGTGAGTTTCTCACACACACTACTAAGATGTTGTAGGGGTTCGAACCTTTGACCATTAGACCAAAGGGTGGAGGTACTCTAGGGCCTGAGGTGGCCCTGGCAAGCCACCCCACAATTTATTCTCAACACAGTAAAGCTTGGGCTTTAGTTCATATATTTAACAACGCAAATCATATATAATTCTATGTAAAATGTTTGTGGGCCCATTACACATAATAAAAGGAAAGTATTCTAATGATCAAACCAATGAGCCAAGGGAATAAAAAATAAATAGTTTAAAGGGAAATGAGATTTTATCAAAAGACTTTTTCGTTTTGTTACATGAAATGAAATTGAGTATAAAGTTCTAAAAAAAATTCCATTTTTCCTTATATATTATTGATGTAAGATTGATTTTTCTTTCTATACTTATTTTATGGTTCGGCCCCACACATACAATCCTCACTCAATATCCATCTTGGAGACTGCACGATAAAGTCAATTGGCATGCACACTAATTGCAGTCAAAATTTACTTGTAGTCCACAATGAACAAAAACACGTTGGTTAATGTTATTTTGAGGTCCACTCCAACGGTGTACTAAATGAACGATAAGACTATAAACAATCTTAATATTAGAGACCAAACAAAGATAATACACACTCTAATCTCGTACTAATCAAGGTTAACAAAGAGAATTTAATCCAAGTAGTTTAGTCTAATCTGATTTGACGAATGAAACGAAACTGTTTGTCTAATGGGATTAGACTGACAGAAGTCCTACATTCTCATGGAGATAGAGATGGAACAAAATAGTCTCATAATAAGAGCCCCAAAAAAGAGAAAATAATTGGCCACAATTGCCTTCTCTATAATCATGCTCATGTGGCACGTCACAAACCAGAAAATTCGGCTAGTAATGCAACTTGGATGGCATTTAAAATGAAATCGCAATTTTGGGCAAGAGAGCTGTTAACTTTAGTGGCACATTAATGCCGCTGTTTGGTTTTTCAAAGGAGAAATAGTTGTGTTTAATAATTATACTTGCCAAAAATTAATCCGACAATTCGTAAGTCTCGTCATCCCATTTCAACTGATGTTACAGTTTATCCATGTTATCATACACCTAACTATTATAGACTGGAAAAGTATCAATCATGCTGTCTATTCATTATAAACGTAAATTAATAACATCACATGACGATATGTCTGGCACACTCAAGATTTCATTTTTTGTTACTAGCTGGACTGAAGGGTTGGAATTATTTGAAAGTAACACTAAATTTGCTTCCAAAAAAACACTTTATTTGGAAATGACACTTTTCTAATGTCCCTTTCTCGGTTGTCTTATATATTGCTTGTGTACATCCTCCATATGCCTGCATAAAGTACAGTTGGTAAATCACTCATATTATACACCTGTTGTCTATATACATGCACGTTGAAATACACGCAGACTACGAAAAGGAAAAACAGAAGAAATGCACTCAAGAATCAATCACGTTTTATTTTTCACAAAGATTTTTTTTGTTTTTACAGCAAATACAGTTCTTATTATCTCTCTATTTTCTTTATAATAAGATCGACGGTTGAACTTACGTTCTTGTTTATTTTCATTCCACTTACGATCAGATAGATAGAATTGGTTGTGCATATCGAGCATGAATGATTGACAAACGTCGACACAGACAAACTTCCCGCTATCATCAGGGTTGGCTAGTGGTTGACTAACTGTGTGTGCGTGTCAGAAGTTAAGGATTCTGGTTTTTTTTTTTTTGGTCAATAGGATTCTGGTTTATGTACCATAGATCCTGATCAAAACAGCACTCTATCAGTATCTGTATTTGCAACGGCTATGGACCTTTTAAAATAATAACAATAATAATTTTTTTGAATTGGTTTATTTATGAAGGGAGTGAAGTAGATGTGTAACAGTTAATGCATTCTCGTGTGTTAGCTCCATCGACCGTAGAACCAGTTGCATCTGATCTGTAGGTGGACCCATTTGTGAATCGTAGCATTTTAATGCTATTCAAAATTATTCAATTATAATTTATACACATAAATTTGTTTTTCACCTTTTCTTTATCATGGACAATATGCACTTGTCTCTCTTTGTTCACATGTATATTTGGTGGTGATCATACTATATATGATCAGATAATTGGAAGGGTACCCTAGATCAGAAGGCATCGACATTTTTTTACTGAGTTTCAAGATATGAATAGAATAATATGACTCTTCTATTTAGAGAGACTTCTTTTTTAAAGCTCGAGAGAAATGACGAGAGTCGAACTCTAATCACTGAAATTAAATAAAAGAATATCCTCTTTCATATGCCATCAGTACTATAGAGAATGCATATTTAATGTAACTCCCCACAATTGCAAGCCACTCACCAAAGTACTTTTCATTTGACATCATGACCTCTACAAGAACAAGACAATTTCACATGGCTTTGCCCTTTTATTTTTGATGGGTGACTCTGAAATGAAAAGGATTAGAATTTAGGAATATACATATAAAGATGGTTTTTAGTATTTCTAACCCTAATGATTAGGAAATGTGTCTTCACTAAAAAAAAGGTCATTATGTTTAAACCATTACTTGATTTGTCACTAAAATGAAGAGGGTCATCCATGGCCATTGACTAAACAAATGGAATTGTGTTAGATGGATGAATTTATTTGCATAATAAAGAACCCAGCAGTCCAGCTTATAAAGCAGAAATGCTACCAATAGATATGAACCCAGCATATGGGTCCATCTACTAGCTATATGCAATCAGTGCAGAAAATAAAATGGAAAAGGTCTTCTTAATGCATCCCCATGGTACCAAAAAATAAATAAATAAAAAGCAAAAACTGTATGAACAGAAGCATAGTACAAACTTGTTCCACATGTTTCTGCATCAAATAAAGCAGTACAGTTACAATGTTTTGAAAGATTAAATCTCCAATGATGCAAAGGGATTCTAAGCAGCAGCAGCAGCACATCTTATTGGGTTATGAAATGAAACCCACAGAGGGATTCAACAATAAGAACTTTATAGTATACAGAAAATAATCAAAATACATAAAAAAAAATTGAAAGAGAAACACAAAAAGAAAGTGACATTTTTCAACCCAAAAAAAAAAAAATAAACCAAAAAAAATAAAATTAGAGATTGATGATAACCTTTAGATGACCACATTTTCAGGGTTGAATGTGCTTAGATCCTCTTGATGGATCCAACCATATTTCTCCAAGAAAGGGTTGGTCAATGACTTTGGTGGGTACACAGCAATGTCCTCCTTCCACACATTTTCATCTCCCAAATCTCTCACCACCTCTAGCAAACAGCTGTTGCATTTAAAGCCAGCACCAAAGCTTATCATCAACACTGTGTCCCCTTTCTTGAGCCTCTTCTTGGCTTCCATGTAACCCAAGACATACCAAAGGCTACATGCAGATGTGTTGCCAAATCTGTGAAGTGTCATCCTTGCAGGCTCAAGATCATACTCATTAAGCCCAAGGTTCAACCCAATCCCATCTATGACTGCCTTTCCACCAGTGTGAAGGCAAAAATGATCAACCCCAGTCTTGAAATTGATGACAGGTTTTGGTGAAGTGCTTGCTCCTCCCTTGGAGGATTGTGACTTCAATTTTCTCACTAGGGTTACAAGCATAAACCTAACCAACTCCCTAATGGGTAAAATCTTGGGTGACATTTCCCTAAGATTATCCACAAAGGCTCTTGTGGCAGCCTTGGGTAAGATCTTGTCAAGGTGAAAACCAAGCATCCCTTGCCCATCTTCCTGTTGGATGCAACAACCATATGACTCATCTCTAGCCCCATGATGGGTTCTAACCAAACACTTCAATTTGAACATGGCTTGGTTTTTCAAGGCCCTTTTGTTGGTCAAAAGGACTGCACAACCACCAGACCTAAACAAACAATTTGCTAAAATCATGGATCTGGCATTACCTGAATACCAATTGGGGCTCAAAGACTCAGAAGTGACCACAAGTGCATACACATTCTTGTAGGACTTGAACATGTTCCTAACAATGTCGGTTGAGATTAGGCTAGCAGAGCAACCCATCCCAGTGAGATTAAAGACCTTTATGTCCTCCCTCATCTTGTAGTGGTTGATAATTCTGGAAGCTAAAGAAGGCATAGAAGCAAACATGGACACATTCACAACAAGCACATCAAGTTGTGAAGGGGAAATGCCTGATCTGTCCAGAAGCTTCTGAATGCTGTCATGGAAAAACTCCTCCATCTCTGAGATGCCATCTTCCAATGTGGGGCAAGATTCTCTGCCTGAAAAAATGATTCTTGGAGCATAGGTTTGCTCACCAATGCCTGAGCTCACAATGGCTTTGAGGAGGAACTGGTACTCTAGAAGACCAAGATTCTTGGTCCTCCGGATGACCTCCCCTGAAAACTGTGTGTCTAGCTTTCTGTCATCTGTGGGCTTATAGCACTGATAGTCCAAAATGTAGCACTCTTGGTCCCTTTTTTCATCAAAGCGTTTCCACATCATAAAAATGAAGTACAAGGCTGAGAAAGCACAGAGTAAACTGAGAAGCTCCATGACCAAATGTGTGTGTAAGAGAGAGAGAGAGAGAGAGAGAGAGAGAGAGGGGTGAGTTGTCTGTGAATTTATGTAGATGGGAAGTGAAATTGGAAGATTTATAAGAAGAGGAGGAGCAAGAGTACACTACATGTGAAGATCCTGAAGACTCATTTTCATCTCTCAACCCCCACCAAACTGATTGATTTGTGTGTGGCTTAAGCTTCTTGTGTATATATTTATGACTCAATCAAACTAGGTCACATCTTAAGCATGGAAAAGTAATAAGCAACTGGTAGGCTTTATAGGCTCTTTGGTTTGTAGGAACTCTCCAATTGTATCCTTTGGTCTCCATCAAAGACTACCAATTGCAAGACACAATATTTATTCAGTTTCATATAGACTTTATTAATTTGGGCATGACCAAGTCTTCCAACTCAAAATCAAATTCGTAGTATTTTTAAAATGGAAAGCTATTATAGTTCACAGTTAGCAGCTTACCCAATGTGGTTACCCACATTTAAGAGAGATCAGGCGGTGGCTAGAGAAAAAAAAAAAAAACAAATTATAACTCTTAGAAGAAAAGATTTATAATCTGTTTAATGTTTTTAAGGGCAGTAACAATTTTATTTAGCTTAATTCGAGAGCTAGTCGTCTATAATCATGTGAAATTTAGCATGAACAAATTTTTAGAGACAGTACAGGAGGACAAGAGCTGAATTCTTAACAATTGTGAGCGAGCATAAGGGCAAAGTGCAAGCTCTACCAATAAGGCTATAATTCCTCACTTATCACGATAAACTTAACGTCATGTATGTTATTGCCTTGAGTTGTATTACCTGCAGTTTAACAGTTTATAATATTCTAACAAAATTTAAATGTATCATTGGAGCGACAAGCCTTTGCTTAGCTCTAAAGCTTTATCTTGCCGTGAGGTGTATTAACAATTTGATGTGATCCATAATAACTGAACATATACCTTTAAAAAGAATATATATGTATGGTGGGCTGGTGTGCATTTTAGTCGGAGTTGACTTGGGTGCTTAATGGGCTGAAGCTGAAAGCTAACCGTAATAAGCATTGACGAGTTGACGCTAAGCCAGTTGATTTGGGTTGGACTCTAGCAGCATTAATAGATATTAGGGTGTATAATTCAATGGTTGGTTGTTTACTTATTATGATTCGTTGGCTTGACTTTGTTCAGTCTATTCCATGATTTAAGCGTTAGGTACAAGCAGTGTGATCGTAGTGATCAGTCCAAGCTTTAAAGACCTTGTGAAGAAAATTTGTACAAGATGACATTTTCATCAATGCTCATCCTATTAGAGTCAATACCAAGCAAACTAGTCGTGTGGTTTTTCTACACCCCCAAAAAAAAAGTATTCACATAGACATACCTTAGCAAATAACAAGAAATACTAATTTTGTGGTTACATTATAATTTTTGTCACTCGTTTTCTTTTTCTTTTTTATCAAATTCTGAATACCACTGAACTAAGAGCTTGGGGAAAACCTCTCCACAACATCACGCGCGGGGGAGGGGGGGCGAATCACAAATTCCTTTTTTTTTTTGGGGGTGCCCAGATATGGGGGTTTTGGCCTTTGAGGTTTTGTTCTTTGGGTCTTGGGCGGAAGGGACGAGGTAGTTATGTCTGTCATATGAATTTGAGGGTTTGCTTATGGATTTCTTTTTTCTAGTTTGGATCTCTTCAAGTCTTGTGGAGATCTTTTTCGATTTGGAACAAATCTCTTTCATAGCCATGATATTTGTCTTTCTTGAGGCTTGGGGCTTATTATCTAGAGGAGAAGCCAACGTTTTTCAGGTGAAATTTTCATAGATAAGGTGTTGTGGCCTGGTTGAGGAGAGATAGTGCTTTGATGCTTGTTTGAGTATCTGGAGGAAGCTAGTGGTTATGCTCTCTCTTGATGGCGTCCCCTTCTCGAATTAGAAGCGGTTTTACCGATTGCTAAGTTCAATTTGGCACTGATTTTCTATGATGTTTATGCTTCGTATGTTTTATATGGCTGGCTTCTAGTGAGCTGGTTTCATTATATTTTGTTTGACTCATTGTACCTTGAGGAATGCTAGCAGACTTCTCTCTAACATTCTCCTTTGGACCTTTTCCATTTTTTACTTGACATATGTTATTTTCCTTACACTTAAAACAATGTCATTAATATAAAAAAGGGACATTTTCTCTTTTTTTAAAAAGCAGACATTTTCTTAAATAAAAAATTTGACGTTTAAAAAAAAAAAAAAAGATGGTAAGAAAGTTGTGAAATTTTTTTGGATAAATTGAATACATTTAATAAAGATAAACTTGGAAAACAAAAGTTAGCTTGTATAATATATTAATGACATTGTTTTAAATGTAAGGAGAATGACACATGTCAAGTAAAAAATAGAGAAGGTCCAAAAGAGAAAGTTAGAGAGAAGGTTTGCTAGCATTTCCCTTTGGGCTTTGTGCTTGAATTGTAATCCTAAATTAAGCTGGGACCCTCCTTTTTCAAAAGGCTGGGTTTTGCCTTCAATTCTCTGTAATTGAATCTGTTTATCAACTAGACTATAACTAATTGGTATATGTTGTGGATCAGCTTATGATTTGTAATTTTTTCAAGAATAACATGTTCAATAACGGTAGAATTGCCTTCTAATAACTATAGTCTCAAAATAAAGTGCATGGTGATATGACAAATAATAATTTAAATTAATTTAATTAAGACACCCTAACATGTTGAATAAGAATACAATTGCCAAAACAGAAATCTAAGTAACACGTTCAATATCGTTGTCATGTGTCCCGATTTTTACATAAAATAATGCTACTTTTACCACATTCTCATCTTATAATTAATCTCATCATATTATCATATTGAACCAAAAAAGCATATATTGATAATATTTATCTATAACAGTAACGGACGGAGACAATAATAACAATAATGTGGTGATAATTATGATGGTAGAGACCACAGGGATGATGTTGTTGAAAATAGGGTTGACAGTAGAGTTGACAATATTAGTGATAAGGAAAATGCTTGGGAGATCAATCTCTATTAAAAGTACACAAGGTGTGGTGTGTAAATGTGGTTTCCTTAGCACGACTCGATTGATAATGTAGTTTGATGGTGTGACTTCTTGATTTATGACATGAATTTTATCCATTCACATATTCTCTTTTTCTTTTGATGAATTCAAGATATAAGGTCTATTTGCAAGGAGTTTGCAGTTGAAGTGGTTAAAAACAATTATTATTGTACTTGAGGTCCTGTATTCGAATTCCTCTCCCTCAATGTCACTTGTATTAAGTATAAAAAAAGCATATATGATCTACTTTTTATTAATAAAGAGGGGATTTGAATTTAAATTTGTGACTTCTTTTAATGTTAGTTAACTTCTTAATCTTATTCATTACAATGAGTATGAATGTAGGCTGACTATTGATTTAGAGATCATGATATTTCTCTATATTTTGTTAGAAGAGGTGTCTAGTTTTTTGATATATAAATAATATTGGAAGAATAGAAAACTGAACACAAAACATCGGGTGATGAATGCTTTACTTAATCTACAAACCCTTAGAAGAAATCTCAAATTTGAATACCTCCTCTCAAACAAAAACAATATTGATGAACTCTATTCTACTTTTCGTATGTGTAGCATGCCAAAGACGGCCAAATTGTTAGAAAACATTGCCAAAGTGCCAGCTTGATCCACATTTGGCAATGTTTATCCATGTGTTTGCGTAAACGTAACTACATGTCGTCCACATGTACTATATAGGCAATTGAAGCTTTTTTATTTATTTTTTTATTTTTTATGGTCAAGAGGCAGTTGAGCTTTAAATGACTCAAGCTCGACCTTAAAGCTGAGCCTATGATAAACAATAAAAAAAATGTTCACGCATCGTTCATGCATCGTTTGTGATAATTTACTAATGGAAAGTTGACAGTTCTTAACAGAAATTCGAAGTCATGTCGTGTCGAGTTAAATTTGAGACGTCCTTCAATTAAAAACATTATGAATCAAAGAAACTCATCAATCACACTTAAATATGAGAAAATAGATAGGTTTTTTTTTTTTTTTTTTTTGGAAGTCTCAAAACTAGTTTTAGCAAGCTTAATGGTTCGTTTGGGTTTGGCTTAGTTAAATTTTCTTTGGGGACTCATAAAAGAAAGAAAGAATTCAAAGTCTAACAAGTTCAAGTTTGTATATTCGAAGTCGATTCATAGCCCTGCCCATATATGCATTTATGTCTCCACTAATAAAATATTCCACTGCAACAGAAGGGATAGGGACAAATTATTAAATGATGAGACAAACATATAACTGATAAATGTTGCTGCCTTCAATCTCAGGGCTTCATTTCCTTCATACTTATTTTCTTTTGCTGACTACTTATAGGAAACAAAAGGTATATGTATGTAAATCAAATATATATACAGAGAGAGTTCAACTTATTATACAGTCCCCTTCTATAGGGATCTTTACGAATATTTTTAATGATCTAAACCTTTTGAATTCAAGTCTTCATTCATAGATCATTCCTGCAAATAACTAAGTCAATTGAAAATCATTAAGGCATCCAATTAGGGCCAACCAAATAGAATACGGTGCTTTAAGAAAAGACTATAATAACAATCATCTAATTAAGTGGTCAAATGGTTTCGGATTGAAGTGATTTTTTTCCAGAGATGATTTCAAATTCAAGTTTTTTTTTAAATTTTTTAATTTTTACATATATATATTATATATATCTACAACTCACATCAAACAATTGGATCAATAATTTTTGATGTAATTGGACAGCTAACCATAACCGAAGGGTCCCAAGTCATCAGCAAGCCTAAAGGATATGTAATTTAAATGCAAGTTGCAAAAGCATGGACAACAACTTCTTGCATGGAAACTCTGATAAAACAATACACCATGTTGCTTTGAAATATATTTTCCTTGCTAAGATATAAAACAACCAACTTTTTCTGTTACATAAGCAATCAATCAAATTGCTTTGCCTACTTGCGCCCACAATTCATTTTGATTTCGGGGTGTCATATTGAAAAGTTCTTTAATGCTCAACCACCATTGCTCATGTTGGATCGTAATGTCTCACTCACCATATTTAAATACAAGTGTTATTGTTTGGACCAAGAATATTTCACCCATGGGCCTAGGAAAGATGAGTCTTTGAAGGTGAAGGCAATCAAGGGAAGAAAGATCAAGGCCCATGAGTCAACACTCAAACCCAT